TAACATGTATCAAATTCAAATGTTGATTCATATTTTATATTCTCACAGAGATGAAATAATCTAAAGAATCGATCCATGTGTCTTTAAGATATTTTTTAATGTTAGCTTTTCGTTCACAGTAAGTGACTTAAAAACATAACCCATAATAGATCTTAAGAACTAATAGAACCAAAATTTTCTGAACTGTCAAGGAAATAGTTTAGGTCAATTTAAAAATGTCAATTTTGTGGATTTTTGTTGTTGTTATTGTTGTTTTGGCCAAAATTTGTATCTCAGAATGAAGGGAGCAGAGGCATGACAAATTGCAGACAGGATGGGGCACCATCCAAACTAGGTGAAATGTGAAAATGTTAATTCAGGAACGTAAGGTCCTGTTTAGAGTGCCAAAATATTTAACATTTTATCAGAGGAATTGTTTGGGGACTTTCAAATTAGTAGTTATAATGATAAACACTGTGGAATTTTGCCATTCAATATGCTCACCATCTATGTCTATTTGAATATTGTAGGAAGTTCTCTAGTGTTTTCCTCTATGTGGATCCTCTGTCCTTTTCTTCTCCATGTTGTGGATAATATTCTGTGGTCAGAACCCCAAGACATAATGTCCTCTCCATAACCCTAACATCATCTCATTTTCTTCAGTGCATGTATGTAGTGGACATTCTCAGGCGGGTACAGGACTTGGAATGTTTACTTGGATAAGATATTGAGCCAAGCATTGTAGATTTTTCTCCTCTTTTCTTCCTTGTTTTTTGAGAGAAAACCTACTTTTAAGCTAACTGCCATTTGGAAGTCCAAGTAGAGTAAAAGTCAGAGCAGCTCAAGACTGAAAGTCTGTGGACGCGCAAAGCCGATAGTCTCCACTCGTCACATCTCCCAAGTGACAAGGGCAGCCCTATTTCCTCACTTACTCTATTATTTATTTGTTTGGTAGTATGCAAACTGGTGGATTTGATCCAGGTTTCAGAGTTGTTTCAGTGGACAGAGCAGATGGAGTTTGACTTTCTCCATATCCTGTGCATGGAACACAACATGTCAGTATTGAACTTCACTGTTTGCTAGGTGATTTGCACAATGCCTGGCTTCTGCTTCTGTATTTGAAGACAGAGGAGTCTCAGAGAGGTGAGGACAAGTGTACAAAATTGCTCTGCTGTTCAGTATATCCTCACACTTGAGTTTACATTTCTTCAGGCTCAGGATATGGAATTGAGTCCTCAGCTCTACCGGAATAGTGTTTGTGTGCTTCATTCTTAAAAATATTCTAGGTTTTCTTTGTACATTACAGTCATGCATATGCTTTTTTTCTGAGAATTTTAATCACCAGCATTGTTATTGAGCACCAGCATGTCCCTTTGTGCAGTATAAATTAATATTCTTAAAATGCTATAAGTAAAAGAGCATTATTAGAGCTATATGCTTGTCTTATAAATATGTTACAGTAAATTACATAATTAAACAAGCATAACACAAAAATTAGGTGTTTGTTTCTCTGCATTTATGAAGAAGCAACCATTTTCCTTTCTATGCTACTTATTATTCCTTCAATTTGCAAAAGCTGAGTAATCAGGAATTCCACACCATGGCTTTAATTGCAAGCACATCCACTAAGTGCTGATGTTGGATATTCTGTTGCTGAGCTTTTTAAAAGTGACAGCTTTTCTCTTCAGTTTTTTTTTCGTTTAGTAATTAAAGCAGCCTTATATAGTCATACCAAGCCCTTATCAGCACAGTATTGTTCTCTAATATGTACAGTTCCCTTTAATAGTCCACTTACTAGCCAAAAATATAAAGATGATGACAATGATAATAGTCATAATCACAGCTGAGACTGGTGGCCTGCCTAACATGTGCGAGCCATCATGACAGGTACTTCTTATGCACTGTTCAATCTAATGGCATCAAGAACATTATTTAAAGATTTCTGAATATATCAAAGACAACCTAATAAAGTCATGGGTGCCTGTTATTCCCCGGAGGTCTGCATCACAAAGAATGGAACCACATGGTCACTGGTTGTACTGCCAGTGGGCCATTATTAAACTGCACATCTCACACTGCTATGGGCCATTATTAAATTGCTCACCTCCATCTGCTTATGTGCTAGTTATTAATCTATGCATATATTTCTCAGGGATATGGACACTTGGTTTATTTCAAGGTCTTCTCTTTTTTATTTTTTTCCGGTACCGGGAATCGAACTCATGACCTTGCACTTGCCAGGCAGGAGCTGTTCCACTGAGCTAAATGCCCAGCCCCCAGGTCTTCTCTTTATTGTTCATATGTTACCTATCATAAGATTCTGCAAAATCCACTTCTAAGTCAGAGTTTCTCAAACTTTAACATATATACATGCATGTCTTGTAGATGTTTGTAAAATGCAGATTGTGAATCAGCATGGCTGGCTTGTGTCATGACATTCTGCATTTCTAACAAGCTGCTGATTCATCAGATCACACTCTGAGTAGGGAAGACCCTGACAGTTCTAGAATTTATCAGTTACTCTCCATTGCCAGGCACTGTCCTGGTTATGTGAGAGGAACTGTGAATGTTTACAGGGTTTGCAGAAAAGCTATGCTTAGTTATTTGCATTTCGTGGATGTTAACCCAGACATCGTCCTGTTTTAATATGTGGACGATTCTCTTTCCATATATTCTTGGAGGGGATTTTAGACAAAAGCCTGCTGGGGGCTGCTTGATCTCAGTGACCCTCAAACTGTATCAACTTTTCTGTAGATATAGTAGTGAACCCCTCTGATCCCAGTAATTCATCTTACTGCCCCGATGTAGAACCTTCTTCTCCACCCACTTTCTTAGCCTTAGGCTTAACTCTGCCCAGAAACGTTTTGCTCTTAGAAGGAAGTGCATGGACCCATTGCATCCTGCAGATAGGAGCTGTCATTAAAAAGAATGAAGGGCTGGGTTTGGGACAACAAGTTAGGAAAAGTGCTTTACACTTTTAGTTGGCAAATCAAGGAAATGAAAATGCATATGAGTTTGTCTTCTATCTATAACAGAAGTTCTCAAATTCAACCCACAAGCAAGAGATGAGCAGTGGCAGAGGAGTGAGGAGGCTTCATTTGTATTTATATCCCTTCCCCATTGTTCATGTTGCTGTCTAAGTTCCACTTCCTGTCAGACCAGCCGTGCATTAGATTCTCATTGAAATCCCGATCGTGCTGTGAACTGCGCATCTGGGTTTTATGCTCTTCATGAGAATCTAACAGCTGATGATCTGAGGTGACGATGAGGTGGTGATGCTGGGGCCAGGGAGGGACTGTAAAAATACATCAACATTAGTGGAGAGTTTGGAATGAATATAAACCATAGTAAGTCAATTGCTTTCAGACTGATACCAAAGTTCTTTCAGTGAGTGGCAAGTGACAAGCTGCGTGTGGTGGTAGACTTCCCAGTGGCAAGTGAATCGATGCACTTAGGCAGTTTAGCCGCATCTGGTGGCAGGGTTCATGTCAGAACTGGCCACTTTCTTTAATCCATCGGTGAGCCATCCTTTGTTTTATGTGCCATTTCTTTTTTTTTTTTTTTTTTTTTTTTTGTGGTTTTTCGGTTTTTCTCCGGTACCGGGAACCGAACTCACGACCTTGCGCTTGCCAGGCAGGCGCTTTTGCCGCTGAGCTAAATCCCCAGCCCCTTGTGCCATTTCTGTGTCATCTCTTTCCTGGGTATGTTCTTGCCTCAGTTACAGTTTTGGTAAGTCCACAGCTAAACCCAAGCCAAAATGATCAAAAGGTAATGTCACTGGAGAATTCCTTTGAAATGAGGGAAAGAGCTAGTGTGAGACAAAAGACTTTAAGACTGCAAACAAAAAGAAAACTGCATTTAAAAGAAAATGCCACAAATGTAATGTATGGGTTCACTGCAACAAGTGATTCATATTCTCCAGGCCCCTGTTGTGTAATATGTGGTGAGTGGTTGTCCACCCATACCACAGAATTCTCAACACATAGAGACCAAGCATCCTGCATTGAAAGAAAGGGCTTGGAACTTTTCAAAAGAATGAAAATTGAACACAAAGAACAGAGACCTTCACTGAAGATCACCAGTGTATCAAATCTGTCTTTACTTCAAGTGTTATTCTCAGTGGGGAAGTGCATTGTTAATGCTAGAAAGCCCTTTACTATTGCTGCAGAATTGATCCTGAATGCTGATAAGGACAACTGTCCTCAACTTTTAGGAGAGGCCGCAGAGCAAAAGGTGGCACATGTTCCTCTTTTAGCTTAGCACCATAACTACATATGGTGATGAAACAGCAGAAGATATTGAGACATCATCATTCTTACAGAGGATTACTGAGTCCTTGCAGGATGCGATCTAGGCTGAGCAGTCCACTGATGTTGACAAAAAGGCAAGAATACTTTCATGCAATGTATTTTTCAGGGTTATGTACATTAAGTTATGTTATGTGGACTTTTGTTACCACCAACCACAGAACTATTTATGTCTTTGAATTATTGCAGATCAGGAAAACTGAATTTTGGTCTCTCTCTCTCTTTATATGTATATACACACACACACACACACACACACACACACACACACACATATACACACACAGTGGCTGCCATGACTGGCAGGCTTCCCTGTTTTGCTACTCTAAGCAGAGGTCATTTCTGAATGTAAGTCTATGCACTGTGTCATCTATAGAGAAGTACTAGCTAGCTCAATAACAACACTGGTGCTTAAAATGCTTTTGCAGAATGTAATTAAAATGATAAACCACATTAAAGTACCTGTCTGTATTTTTGATCAGTCTGGGGAGCTCTGTAAGGAGAAGCACACAGCACACATGCATCATCTCTTGATACACAGGAGTGAGACGGCTTTCTAGAGTTAGAGTTTTTGAGTTACAAGAGCTGCTCTAAATAGTTGTAGAAAAACAGTCACCACTGACAGCACATTTCAGTGCCACAAAAAGGGGGACAAAACTGGCTAACTCCTATAACATATTCACCCTGTTCAATGAACTCAATCTGTCACTTCAGGAGACAATGACAACAGTGTTGAAATTGGCAGAGAGAGTGGCTGCATTCCAAGCCAACTATTGAGGCAACATGAACATTGGGATTTTCCACATGATTCAATTAGCACAGATTTGGAAGGACATTGAACCAGGACAGTCTTGATCCCGCGTGGAACATGATCACTAATTTCAACATTCAAAAGAATGAGCATTACTTCCCAACCACAAAGGATCCCCAAACTGGGAAGGAATGGATCTGCAACTCATTTGTGAATAAGCCAGGTGATTCCACTTTGCCATGCTTGAGGATCAACTGCTTGAGACTGCACATGCTGGTGGCCTTAAAGTATGTTTATTGTTTGTTTGTTTTTTCCTCTTATGAATCTTTCTTGTCTGTTTTATACTCTGACTAACTCCTTTGAAGATAATGATACACAGTATATTAAATATTACTCTTTTATTGTTTTGTTAGGAAATTTTATTTTATCTTTTCATAAAATACAAAAGTATATTTCTAGATTAAAATTAAGGTGGAATATCATAAGTTTGCACAGAAGCACTTAAGAGGCAGCTTCTATTCCCAATGTCCTATTTTTATGAAGCAAGGTTTTTTGTTGTGACGGCAAAGAACACAGAAGCAACACATTTTGGGGGTCACTGTCTGCCCTCATCCCCAATAAGACTGCTTAATTGCAGGAAAACTAGCCCAAGGATCCCACCAATTTTGCATTGTGGTGAGTTGTGTAATTATTATATATCAAATGCATAATTATTGAAATAAAATACACAAAATGTTGTATTAAAATTATCCCTCAATCACCTGCCCCACTAAGTCTGTAGAAAAATTGTCTCCCATGAAACTGGTCCGTACTGCCGAAAATGTTAGAGACACTGAAATATAAGGTTGTTTAAAACTGATAAAAGTAATATCTAGTATTGCGGAGAATATGAACAACTACACATAATACCAGTGTATAAAACTATATATAATACCAGTGTATTGAATTTATGAGAAATTTGGAAATATTTTGCACATATAAAAAAAGTGCACACCCTTTTCTATGTATAATCTAACTATTGAGAATTTATCATAAAAATATTAGAAAAATGAACAAGTGTGTGTATATAGATATAGATATAGATGAGTATAAATAGTATTTCTCAAGATATTAAAATCTAAAATAAATATAATTTAAAAGTATGGAAGTTCTAAATTATTAGACAGCCACATTGAAATAACTGATATTTGATCATCTAACATTTAGAAATAAAAAGTCACTTTTATATAATTCAGTCTGATAATTTTAGTACACACAAATAATAGAAAGTAAAAGAATATCAACATACCACTAAAATTACTTGATATTTACATATAAACACAGAAAATGTAGATGAAAAATTTATCAATGTACGTCAAAACATTTCTCAGTGTTGGGGTTATGTTAACTTTTTTTCTTTTACATAGTTTACAATTTTTCTCTTAAAATTGGGCAATATGTATTTTTCTAATGTTTTTTTTATTACTTGTTATTCTCTTTAATTGTTTGATCAAGCTTGCATTCTTATATCTGGTAATTTGAGCAACTTTGTTGAAGATAACAATATGTAGTATAGCAACCACTGCTAATTTCTATCATTTATTTTTATTGTTTTTGCTTTGTTTTGTTTTTGCCTACAATGTTATTTGGTTGTAGTTTGTTATTCTCTTTAAATTAAAGAAATGATTAAAAACAAAATAATAATAAAAATGAATAATAAGAGGGACAATACTGAGATACCTAATGAACCATTTTTACACTTCTAAGCTCATTTCCAGAAACCCAAAGTTGAGGAAGCCTTGAAGTATTTTCTGCTGAAGATGACATGATAATATGTGTTATTAGAAAAGTCATTTCCAGTTATTGTATTAGAATTCAGTAATTACTTTTTCAATAAAGAAAGGGAAAACTATTAAAAGCAAAAATGTGAAATAAATTAGTTTTATATCCTACACTCAATTAAACTATCATAGCAAGAAGGTAATGAATTAAGATAATTTGAAGATAGGAATAAAGCTTTACAAAGCAGATATTTAGCACTCTTCTGAAATAAAATACTCTAAGAGAAGATCACAGGAAAGTGGGTAGCCCACAGGCATTTCAGTGAAATTGCAGTGTGTATGTTAAGAGGGAGAGGGCAGTTCAATCTCAGAAGTCTTAGAACCACAGAGAGAAGGTAGTTCAGACGTAAATCATTGCTTCGCAACAGCAGGCTGGTCCGCTTGCTCCACTGACTTCTCAGCTTCGAGAACTGCAAGATGGTCCTGTTCTTTGGGAGTATGCTCCCTCATGCAAAATGCATAGTATTAGAGGAATTACTGATTATAAACACTTAATTTATTATAAAGCACATGCTTTAAAATTGTAAGATTGTGATGCTTTCCTGCCTAAAATTCTCCAACGGCTTTGTACTACATTTGTAGTAACAATGAGATTCATGACCAGAGACCAAAAGGTTCTCTCAAATCCAGTTTTTTCCTATCTCTCCAGTTCCTTTTTCTATCATTTTGTCTGTCTCTTTTTTTGTCTTGTCTCTCTCTCTCTGTCTCTCTCTGTCTCTCTTTCTTTCTCTCTGCCTCTGTTTCTCTTTCCCTGTCTATCTCTCTGTCTTTGCCTGTCTCTCTCTGTCTCTCTGTCTCTGTTTCTGTCTCTATCTGTCTCTCTCCATCTCTCTCACTGTCTCTGTCTCTGTCTCTTTCTCTCTATGTCTCTGTTTCTATCTCTATCTCTCTCTCTCCCTCTCTCTGTCTCTCTGTCTCTCTAGAACAGGTAAAAGCTTTTCATGCTTGTGAACTTGCCATTCCCTCTTGCAGAAACACTTTTTTATCGTGATCACTCAAGGGCTAGAAAGCTGTCATTCAGTCTACACCCAAATATCATCCCTCAGAGTACTCAAACCAGCAGCCAAACATAATTAATTGCCTATTCCTACTCTGGTCATGTCCCATCACATCATTTTTCAAAATATTTAGTCTTTGCTGCACATATCGCCTTTGAAACTCCTTTACATTGGTCTACCTGCATTGGAATGTGACCCCATGAAGAGATGAATCCCCAGGTGCCAGAACCATGCCATGAATGTGTATGGTGAGTAGACAGTTGAAATAAGTGGCCTGCCCACCAAAAAAGTGGTCTGGACCACTGCATTCTGCAGTTATAAGAGTCGAGGGGAGCATCTGTGGAAGCGTAGAGATCCCACACCCCCAGTGTTCAGAGCCCCTGTCAGAGCTGGCCCAGGTCGTTTTCCTAACTTGAGCACACACCACTATGGTTCAGGTTATTTGTTTCACTTCATTTGGATATGAACTAAATTCCAAAGAACCAGACCAAGGCTCAAAGCTGATTTGTATTTTGGTGCAAACATATGCCTGGAAATTCTCAAGTGCACTCTTAAAAAGACATTTCTCTATTTGAAAATTATTACATTTTTAACAGTTCAATGATATTTTAAAATAAAAGTATACAGTAGAGAATCTGAAAGATTGAAATTTGTATGTGTGTGTGCACATGTGTATGTATGTGTGTGTGTGTGTGTGCATGCGTGTGTGTGTTTTACTTCCTAAACGTGATGTTATGCTTCAGTGTTGGTGCAATTCTTTTGTAAAAACATCCTGGCCCCATTTCAACGTGTCTCACCATCTGGGCAGACACCTTCCTCCTGCTCCTTAAAAATCAGTGAAGCACAGGCATATTTCTGAACCCGTTATGTTCCCTAGGGGTACATAAACATGATTTAGGAGTCCTTGAAAATGTGTATCCTTCTAAAGGGACATGGTGTTCCAAACAAAACTTTAGAACTACTGGGCAAACATTTTTGTGAAGGAGGACATTTCAAACAGTAATATCTCTAGAACAAAGATTCCATCAGTCCTCACACTACAGAGTGATTGAGCTTAACTCACCTTATTTCTTCTTTAATACAGATTTTGAGAACAGCTGCTCTATGAAGATCTAAGCTTTGCAAGAAAGAGGAAGTAAGAGAGTAATTTTGTATGATGAAATTACTGTTCTTGTTCCCAGAATACAAACACCTGGACACAAAGTATTTATATAAGAAAAAAGAAATAAGATAGGTGAAAATTAAAGGGGGCTTTGTGTGCCTAAACATACCATCGTTTGAAAATCTTTCATTTTTTATTAGTACAAGTTGTAATACAGAGTAGTGATGTTGGTTTTGGAGAAGTGGTACATAATGTAACATATCATGATCATTTTCAATCTCTTTACCCCCTTCCTTTCCCCTCTCCCAGTTCCCCTCCCCATTTATTCCATCATGTTTCCCTTATTTTATGTATATATGTATGTATGCATGTATGTATGCATATACATATATATATATATATTACTTATTGGCCTTTAGTTTAGGGACAGAAGACCTTGTATTTTCAGAATCTGGAATTTAGGGTGTTCACTTGGCAACTAAAAGCAATTTATCTAGATTGACAAGGGAAAATGGGATCTTAAATCTAACTGTATTAATAAAGCAAAAATGCATTCTGAATTTCAAAAGCAGAGCTGCCAGCAACTGCTTTTGTGACAACAGCAAAAGGACAACTGCCTTCATGAGAGACAGAGACAGTTCTTTCTCACCACACACTTGGTAGGAACTTGGAAAGGGCAAATTCAACAAGAACAAGAACAGAGCACCATGGGCCTTATTCTATCTTTGTTGCAAAATGAACAGCATATCCTGTATTTGTATTAACTCTGTGAGACACAGGCGCTCACAAACACCACAGAGGGAGGGAGGAGGTGTTAGAAAACAGTGTAACTATACATTTCCTTGGGTCTCTCAGTGACCAGAGAGGAGTCCAAGTCCACTTTCCCAAAGGTCCACCAAATTACAATAAGGGTAAGTAGCTCGGTGCAAAGGAGAATAAAGGAAGCAAAAACACACCTCCAGATCAGAACGGACTCCAGAAATCTTAGAAAACATAAAGAAAGCAACGCAAGGAATTAAGAAACTGCAGGCTTCTCGGCTTCCTATGTGTATGGTGAGGACAGAGAGGCGTGACTGTGAATATCTTCCTTCTATTTTTACTGTGTTATCCAATTTGACATGCCATTATAATATCCAGCTCTGTTAGAAAATGATTGGAAACATGGTTTTCTATAAGTTTCCCTGTGACATGACAGTTCTATAAATTGTACTGTTGATGTATTTGAAAACAACCCAAGGTGAAAGCAATTATTGTTCTTAATTGGTATTACCAAAGAGGTTTTATAGGTTCCCATATGGAAATAATCTAACCCATGTCAAAAATGAAGATGGCCAGAATTCTAGCAACAGAGATAAACTCCTTTGGATCAACCTTGTGCCCTGCAATAGTACATTTCTGTCACATGAGTATACTTGAGAAGGTTATACAATAATCATTCATTAGGGGAATCATCACAAAAGAAAGAATTTGACCAAGGAAAAAGGGAAGAGAAGTTTAAGAGAAGAATAAGCAAAGAAATTTTTTGAAAGTTTCCTGAATCCCGAAGTAAGGCATTGAGAGCAGGTGTTGCTCTTATAAACAGAGAGAAATTGAATAAATTACATCATTTCTTTGAACCTTGAACTTTATCTGTAAAGTAATGTTAGATAAGAGACTCAGAAAGAAATAAGTACAAAGCCAAGTAGTGGTAAATTATCAAGCTAATCCTCACTGTAGGAGGTTCTTGATTCCAGTAAGACGGGAAAGGAACCTATTTTACCTTGACAGGCTGTACTAGGGGTTAAACTCAGCTTCCTCCTACTGAGCTACATTCCCAGCCCCATCCCTTTTATTATATTGAGGCAGGATCTCTCTAAATCTTTACATAGCCCAGTGTGGGCTTACACTTGCTGTCCTCCTGCCTCAGTCTCCCAGAGTGCTGGTGTTACAAGCCTGCACCACCACACTGAGCTCAGAGAGTATCCTTATATATCTCAAGATCTGTCATCTGCTCCTGACTTCATCGATGGCCCACAGGCATTAACTCCCCTGCTTCTCTGGGCTTGGCAAGAATAAGTGTAGGTCATTTCCTCTGAGAAGCAGGTCCTCCAGGGAGGCACAAGAGGAGAAAGAGATGCTACCAGTTTGTAGCTGAATGTGACTAATGAAAATCTGAGGGCAACTGGTCACTACAGCAATGTCAGAGTGAAGAGGTGGGATTAGAGAGGATTTTGGGTATCATAAACAATATCCAAATGCACATATTTTATGGGTACGTGTGTAGTTATTTAATATCTGTGCCCTGTCTGTCCCTATGAATTCCACAGGCTTTGTTGCTTATGTCATACCTGATCTGGACCATGTGACAAGTTTAGTATTTGTTAAATAAAGTATAAGGCAGAGTTGTCTTTGTACTCTAGTATTTGTTTTTGCATTTTAGTTCTGAAATACTTATTTCTGGTATCAATGGTTTGCATTTTATTATCGGTTTTCACTTTCCTTCTCTTTAAGCACCTTCTCTTATCCAATTAACTTTGTTTTTACTACTTTGCTTTGATGCAGTTTTGCATTTCCAATAACCAAGGTAAGGGTTTTTTTAAAATCTTGTTTACTTTTACATGCTTTAATTTAGCTTTTACATCCTGTCATTACAGTTCTTTAAATTCCGACTAAACTAGCTTTTAATTTTAATGATTTTTCTCAGAGATCCTTTCTGTTCCATCTCTGCATTTTAATTTTCCTTGTAAAGAAGATGGTTTATGGTTCTGTGTTAGCCCATGTTGTCCATGCTATCTCATTTGATCATTGTATCAGAACAAGTGGTGGAAATGATAGGGAAAATCTGCACTTGTTCCCCCTCTGTGACCAGAATTCTGTGTATTTTCAGCCTGAAGTCTGCCGGTCCTCACCCAGCGGTCTCTCTACCACTCTATGTGGGCTGCATTGTGTGAAATTACTGGAACAAGCTAATTTGGAACCACTGAAATTATTTTCAAGCAAAGCTGGGATATGTTAACACTTATTTTAAGAATGCAGTTAACATAAAATGCTACTAACGTCGCTACTCAATTACTTCTTTTTGATAATCCATTTACTAGAGCTCTGAATGCTCTAAATCTGTAAATGTGACAATAAAACAAGAGGAGGAGTTAAAATGGTCTGGATAACTACTCAATTGGCCATTTAATTTTCTTGTCCATTCAAAAGTAGTCAGTTTAACTCTTATTTTTGTCCTCTAGTGAAATGAGTGCCTTTAAATTCTTTTTTTTCTGGTACCGGGAATCGAACTCATGACCTTGCACTTGCCAGGCAGGCGCTGTGATGCTGAGCTAAATCCCCAGTGCCTTGCCTTTAAATTTTAGACACCAATATTCTAACTCTATAAGGTGCTTGCTCTCTCTCTCTCTCTCTCTCTCTCTCTCTCTCTCATTCTCTCTCTATTTTTGTGTGAGAACCAATTTTAGATATAAATAATCATAGCTGTTTGGGTGTGTATGTGTGTATATTTTTCTCCCCATGGTCTGCATTCAAAATAAAAATGTGTCATTTCTTAACTCTGTGCCCTTTAGCATATTATTTATCTTAATCTTTCTATCTACTCTTTATAAATAATTTTCTTGATAAGTGTGAAGTTTCTGAAGAAAATGTGCAACACACAATTGTGATTTAGTACACTGAGACTCAGCTTCATGAGCTATGAAGAACTGAGCAACTTTGGGAAAATCATAAAATCTCCCAGTTCTTTAATTTCTTCAGTTATGAACCAGAGTAATACTTGTTACTGGCCATTTGTAGTTATTCTAAAGACAAAACAAGATGATGCATTTGTGAAAAAGGTTTAAAGAGTAAAAAGCACAATACAAAATGTACATTTCCTACAAAAACACAAAGTGCATGGTGTTGTTGTTGTTGCTGTTGTTGTTTCTGAGACAGGGCCTTGCTGTGTAGTTCAGGCTTGTCTTAAACTCACAGGAGTCCTCCTTCCTCAGCCTCTCGAGTGCTGGAATTAGTGCCTACATTTTCATTAAGAAAGTGTTGAGTCAAAATTGTGAAAAATGTGGAAGACGTAAGTAAGAGGGAAATGTGAACAGCTCTGGAGTCCCTTTCTTTAACCCCTTTAGCAGCTGAGGATGTAGTGGATGCTGTGACCTGACAGAATTCAGTGGAAGATCAGACAGATACCCAAGGCTGAGGTCATGATCTTGGCCCTTTAAAACTTATCTCCCCACTACATACACACACACACACCAGGTTTCCTATTATAGTTTATTCAAATAGCCCTCACATAGCCATGTTTTAAGGACCTAGTTACTAATTTGTTTCTTTAGGCAGTCCCAGAGCCTTTAAGAGGTGGTTCTTAGTGAGAAGGCAATAAGAAGACCTGGACCCTCCATTCTCTTGCTTTAGCTTTCCTGTCCATAAAATCAGTGATTTTACTCCACTCTGGACTGCTTACCTCTATGCACTGAGCTGGGTGCAAAACTGGGGCAGAGCACTGACTACTGGAGGAACTCTCCAAAACTATGAGCTAAATCAAATCTCTTGTCTTTATAAGTTGATTACCTCTAATATTTTTATAGTGAGGAAAGGATGACTTGCTTCTCCCCCCCATTACATATTTACCCAGACACAATTCTTCTTCCTTCCCACATCTGCACCTATATACACTGCCACAGCAATGGAGTCTTTTCTACTAGGAAGGTTTGCACAGCATGTCAAATTCTACTGGCTCCAGCATATCTCTATGGTGTATCTCCATCTCTCTCTCTCTCCCTGTCTCTGTCTTTCTGTGTCTGTCTCTATGCCTCTCTCTCCCTCTGTCTCCCTCTCTCTCTCTCCCTCTGTCTCTCTCTCTTTCTCCTTTCTCTCCTTTTGTTAACTAGACCTTAGATACTTAGATATAAAGTCTTTGTGGGTTTCACTCACTTAGTTTCACACTGATAGTAGTCTGGCTTTCTCCACTGCTCACCCAAGAAAGAGGGAGAAAAGATTTCAACACAATAAGGAATTCATGCACAGCATATTTCTTGGGAAACAACATGAGTCTCCATATTTTCCACTCTGAAATTACTATCAGAGAAACTACTCTCAGTGGAATTCTCCTGCACTTACAACGTATTTCACAAATAGTAAGTCTATTGGTGCCCCTTTTGCAAAAA